TGAAGTGCTTTTATATGAAATGTGCTATATCAAATACAAGATTGAACAGTACCATTTCCTATCTCTTACTGTGTACGAAATGATGATGCCTCTACTCAAGTCCACACTTGCAACATCCATTCATTTGGCTCATTAAGAGCTTACATTTTTGAAAAATCAATTGTTACCCTATTGACTTTGACATCTGAGGGTCTACGTATTTTAGAATGACATTTTTTGGGTTGCATTAAATCACATAACTAAAAAGAAAATTAAAATTAATTAAATTAGGTTATCCTATATCTGGGAGAAACAGTAACATTGCAATACAATGCTATTTCTTCTTTGTACTTGAATTGTGTACGGAACACTCTTGGCTCGAGAGGTGGTTAATACATTACTGATACTCTGAGTGAATCTGGTGACTACCCTAATGAGTGAATGATCAACCCACAATAGTCCAGGACCTGGAGTTACCTCACAATGGTCCTTCCCTTTTAACTGGAAGTTCATCAATTTCTCATTGGTTCTTCTGTTTCCCTTGTTTTAAAAATTTTTTTTTTTTCAAATACCATGAAGCTTATAGACCATGGAATCTGGTTCATACGTTCTCTCTTCAAGCCTCTTGGCTCATGTGATCTGAACTTCCTCTCCTAGAAGAATGCTTTGCTCTTACATATGGTATTCAATCAAGGTGTGCATCAATTGCATTCCCAAGTTACAATTAATATAATAATATATAATAATAATCCTTGCATTTGATATAGTGCTTTTCACTTCTTCCAGACTTCTCAAAGCGCTTCACAGAATATACTGTAAAGTGAAATGACTGTATACTTGTGGGCAAAACACGGCAGCCAATTGTGCACAGCAGTGTCCCCACAAACAGTCATGAATTGAAGTGACCAATTTTTTTTGTTATTTTTTTTCTTGAGGGATTATTATCAGGTGTGTGGAGTAAGGAAACCTACCTAAGGTTTCACCCTGCCAGGAATTGAACCCAGGTCTCTCACTGGCAAGGCGAGTGCCCTAACCACTGAGCTATAGGACTCCTGTACAATTAAAGGTCATGTGCAACTTTAGACCTACACCTTAGTCTGTTCTCTGTCACATCAATTAGAGCTGCAATAGAAATTCCACAGTGTTGACATCTGGAATCTTGTCAGCTCTTTGTGGTATAAAGTACTGAAGAAACAAGGGAACGGATACCTTTTCTAAACAAGATCAGTGACTTGGCTAATGATTTGTATCTTTCATTGCTTTTGTCTCACCGGTACTAAACCTTTGGACTTGCTAAAAAGGACAAAAGAATTAGGTTATTTAGCTTTGATCTTTGTGCTAGCGTTACTCTTCCATTCAAATTCTACAACCCTGCTCTTTCACCCACAAAGTGTACAGTCAATTCACTTTACAGTATATTCTGTGAAGTGCTTTGAGACGTGATAAGCGCTCAATGACGTGATAAGGTGCTGTATCAAATGCAAGGATTATTAACATTATTATTTATTTACTTATTATTTCCACAAGTATTCGACCAACATCCTTTGAAATTCTGATGTGAAGTAGCCTTCAACAATCATAAGGCATTACAGCTCAAACATCGCTCTGTGTAAGAACATTTAAGCTATTGAAAATGTTCATGATTTTGCAAACCTATATAACGTTTCTTTCTCCAAAGTTCTTCTCTTGCTCTTCTTATACCTTATATTTTACAAATTTAGCATGATCTCCTTGCTCTTGCATTGATTGTGCCTAAATGTAGAACCTAAAATTCTTTTTCTTATTTGAGATCCTGTCCACTGTATAGTTGTACTTGTAGGTCTCTGCTACTCCACTCCATTAAGAATATTATCAAAGCGCTTTACAGAATATATTGTAAAGTGAATTGACTGTGTATTTTGTGAGCGAAACACGACTGCTGAATTACGTTTGCTGCCTATCTACTTATTCTGCTAACAGTTATCCTTTTTTAAATCTTCTGCATACCTCCACCAAATTTACCATACCTCCTTATTCAGTATCATCATAAAACTTTGACACTTTACAATCTAGGAATGTCCAGATTATTTGTTTATTATACATATATTTAAGAAAGGGTGGAATTTAAAGAGCAGCCCTAGAATAGACTACTGAACGACTGACTGCACTCACTAGTTTAAAGCTGCTAAGCTTTACTTTCTGTCCTTAAACAAATTCTCTCACCATGCTGCCACATCCATATATACATTCATTTATGCACCAAATCTCATGTTGCACTTTAACAAATGGCTTCTGAAAATCCATACTAGCATCCAGTGTATTTCTCTTATCTTCACATTCGGTTAATTCCTCAAAGAATTCAATTAAACTTGGTTGAGAATAACGCCTTTCATAAATCTGGTGAGGATTTATCCAGATTAACCCATTCCTGTTCAATTACTTCCTAAATATGGAGTCTGGAAGTCCCTAAATAACGACTATAAAACCAACATGTCTTGGGTTAAACCCTCAATGTTATATTTTGTTATAACTACTTGAATTTATACAATACTTTTCACATAAAAGGTCTCAACCACACAACAATTGTTATATTTTCTCCATTTTCTGGAATTCTTTCAAAACCATTATTTGCAAAGCTAAAACTGGGAGCAATGTACATAACTTCACCAAACGTGGCTTTATAACTGCTGAAGACTACAAACCTCTCTGCACTTGCATAAGGACAGTCTTCCCCTGCTTCTTGATTGACTAATAATTCTAGCATTTGATATAGTGCCTTTCACATCAGGAGGACAACTCAGAGGAATATCAGCCTGGCTCAGTTGCTCATCTCTTGCCTGTGAGTCAGAAGGTTGCGGGTTCAAGAGAGGCTTTGATTTCATTAGTCCAGGCTGATACTCCAGTGCAGAACTGGGGGAGCACTGCATCTGTTGAACCCACGTTCTTTTGAATGAGACATTAAATGTCTAAGGTGGACGTCAAAAGATCCCATAGCACTATTCAAAAAGAGAAGGGAGTTTCATTTGGGGTCCTGACTAATAATCCCCCATATAAAATAGTTCTTTCACTTCATGGCTGTTTGTGGGACATTGTTGTGCACAAATTGGCTTCCACCTACAAATGTGCAGTAACTATACTTTACTGTAAATCCTGTGAAGTGCTTTGACATTCTTCCCAATATGAAAGGTCCAAAAGCAAGGATTTTTATTATTGTTTTATCATCATCACTATTAAGAACAGCATTGGGGTCTGGTTGCAGATACAAATGCTTTGAAGGGATGTAACTATCACTGAATTTACCCCATTGTTCTCTTCCTCCCACCGAGACACACACACTACACTTTTCTTCCACAAACATAATTTCTTAGAACTTGTAATAGTTCCTTACCCATTTGTTAATTGATCAGAGAACTTGATTGAACTTATCAAGTTTTATAATTTTTTGGAATTAGTCCATTGAAACAATCCTGCTGAAACTTGATACGGATCACATCAGTGAAAATATAACAGTGAGAGATAATTCCAATTTATTTCCAACCCATGTAGTGCAACAAGAAAATAAAATGATCCTATATTGCTTCAATACCAGTACATCTTGCTCTGACAATGAGGTGTTATAAGATTTGTGCTCTTTTACGCTTGAAGTATTCTTCCTGTGGATGAACACCTTAAACAATCTATTTTTATTGCCTGAAATCTACTATTTTTATTACCCAACAACCAAATGATTTTCTTCAAAAGAAGCATTTTGTAAACATTTTTGGCATTTTATTCCTTCCAGCAACTCAGCCAAGTACCTATCATGAAGCACAAATGGATTTTGGGCTGTGGTTGAGACCTTTTACGTGAAAGGCATTGTATAAATTCAAGTAGTTATAATAAAATATATACAGCATAAATGCAGATTGGAGAGATGTTATACCTCTTCTCTGTAATATAATCCATCAGCTCCAAATAAAATTCTGGATACATGAAAGAGCCAATACTACAACTTGAACAGGACTATAACGTGGCATCTTGTAGCTTAGTGGTTAGCGCTCTCATCTTGCAAGCGAGATGATCCGGGTTTAATTCCTGGGCCGGGCGAAACCTTAGTCAAGTTTATTTACTCCACCCTCTATCTACTACTAAATTGGAAAAGCGGTCCGCCAATCGACTAACAACTGGGTTCCTGTTTACTGCTAGGTAAACAGAGGCATGTGGAGTAAGGAAACTTGCCCAACATTTTGCCCTGCTGGGAATCAAACCCAGGTATCTTGCTTATGAGGTGAGTGCTCCAACCACTGAGCTGCAGGACTCCACTAAGGGGTCATTTGTCCAATTGCATGAGGTCTTGATCAAAATGTGTCTAGTTGTACTGAAAGAAAAACTTTTAAGATCTTAAGGAACAATTTTTCCATCTTTTGAAGCTGAGAATGTTTCATGACACTTGTCCAGCTAGAGCTGCCCTACCCATTCAAGCGTTGGCTCACAGGTTTCTGCAGCTCCATGCAGACAGGTCAATTATCAATAATATTGAGGGTTTCTTAGGACTTGCATGACTTTGCCAGGCGTGAGATCTTGGAGACAGTTCACAAGATCTCGAGAGGTTTGGATGAAAAAGACCTTTCAACCCATTCAGTCTCATCCTTCTAAAAAAAAACACATTACTGTCCTCCCAACACAATTTCAAACTGTCTTTAATAAGCCCAGTATTCTCACCTTGACCACCCTTCTTGGTAACCTGTTCTTCTGGGCAATTAAATATCTGTCCTGAAATCACTCTTTGCAACTCTAAACCAGTGTCCTGTCATTCTGCTGTCTCCGAAAGTATTGTTCAACAAAGAGAGACACTGCTTACTTTCTTCGAACCACAAATCTAGATGGAAGATCATCAGAAGATGGACGTGGAAACTCTTGAGATACGAGATGGCAGTTCACGGGTTTCTGGATGTGGCAGACACTTGTCTGACCAAAAGAAAACAAAATAATTGATGTGTATATTGGGCTGTCTACTGTATTGAGAAGAATTGCGGTACTCATCAGTGCTTTGTTTGTTTCAGACTTGTCTTCGACATCCAGACTGTGAATCAGCTAGAATAAATAAAGGTGGAGTTTTTCACCGCATGAGGTTGGCATTGGATCAGGTGATTGAGATTGTCACAGACTCAAGACAGAATGGAGAAAATGAAATTCATCCTTCGAGTATCTATGCTGACATCAACGAATTTAAGGTAAGAAAGAAAGGAACAAGTACAACCAGAATTGCACTATGCGTGGGGTTGTTATGCTTATGCTGCTGTGTCTTTTATGGGTATGTTTTCCCACAGAAGCTTTAAAATGATTAAAACATACGCCACCGTTCTATTTTGAAACAAAAATCCACTCTGGATTACACTGGCAAAGCTTTTATGAGCTGTTTCTGTATGGTTTGTTTTGCAGTGAAATCCGCAAAAGTGTAACTGCAGCTGATACATTACAACATGTGGCCACTTAAAAGAAAAGCCTAGCTCAGTGCTGCCTGGGTTCCCTGCCGACAGGAGATAATACAATAGCACATATTGATCAGAAGTACATTCTGGAGCTTTTCATGGATGATCACTCCAACATTTAATTCCTAATTCAAAGCCATTTTCCAGCCAAATTTCAAAAAAAATCTCAGAAAATACTGCAGCTAAAATTGCTGTGTGCAACAAGAATGGAGACAATTTTGACCGTCACAAAAGAGGCAAAATTGACATAATTCTCCCTCTTTCATGTTTAGTTCATTATGCTATTTCAGGCCACAATATAAATGGGATTGAATGCAGTGATTCATGCTGAAACCTAGACTACCTTAAGGAGGTTGTTTTGTCAGTAAATCAATTTACATTATTTCAGTGTAAATGTGCATCGATTCAACCTTGACTCAAAACTGCAACACCTGAGAGCTTACAGTGTTAACTAAACAGTTAGTCAACGATGTGCTTTGCTTCGTCCCTAAGCAGATATCTCTTCCAGAAGAAACAATGCAGTAGTAGACTGGGTGGTAGATTTAGACATCCCACCCTGGTGTTTCTCTCTGGGTTTATTCAGGGGATAGATGTCTGAGCACAGATTGAGCTCAGCTGAAGAAACACTGAGAGGCCACTTTATTGATGCTCAAAGTGATTGCCATGAAGTGGGAATCCAAAATGATGGTGTCCAGCTGGGTTGGGTGCTACCATTTTTCAGAAGTCTAAAGAGTTTTTAGCCAGTAAATCTCATTCCCTAAATCTGGAATAGATAGCAGAGGAACAATAAATTGCATTTATATAGTGCCTTTCACATCAGGAGAACATCCCAAGGTGTTGGAGAGTCAAGTGGCTGCACCTGAGATGGGGTATTAGATACAAGAGGGGTGGGGCCCAAAGGAGGGTGGGGGTGGGAGGAAGACTTAAAGCCCGATCAAAGAGGAAAATCTTGAGATGGATCTTGAAGGAGGTGATGGAAGGAAAGAGACTCCGGAATGGAGCTCCAGAGAGTGGCAAGGGATATGGTGAAAGGGCAGGGCTTTGGGATTAAAAGATCTGCTAAAATTTAATAAACTGGTGGAACAAAAACATCTTGCATTGATATAGCTCCCTTCACGAGGGCTAGCATGTCAGAGTGCTTAAACAAGCACAGTAGCCTGAATGGCCTCCTCCAGATCTTGATTTCCTATGTTTTCTTTGAATACATTTTAGGAACACTGCAATTCAACCCATGTTTTACAAATCAATGTTTATTTTCATGAGAGAACATTTTATTTAATCCATTGCAGGACTTAACAGTCTTTTTTGCTTGCCTAGATGAAGATTGAAAGCGTCCGAGACAACTTGCAGGGGATTTCTAAGGAGAGCCTGGCTGCAATGCTGGAGTTGATCCTGGAGCACACAGAGGACTTCACCGATTCTGCATATACCAGTCATGAAAACCGAGAGCGCATTGTGGAGCTATCCAGGCAGGCCAGATTAGAGCTGGAACAGCTGGTTATGGTGTGGACACAAGCAGTAAGACTCAGGCAGTTTAACCATATATAAAGCTTAAATGTGTTCAGGCGTACAATTTACTTTAAGCTTTTACGTGTGATGTGGCTGCAAAATGTGGAATCTGTAGCTTAGTGGTTAGAGCACTCGCCTCCCAAGCAAGAGACCTGTGTTTGATTGCCGGCAGGGCAAAACACTGAGCAAATTTCCTTACTCTACATGCCTCTATTTACCTAGCAGTAAGTAGGAACCCGGTTGTTAGTCGGTGGCAGATCGCGTTTCCGGGGGTAATAATCCCTTCAAAAAAAATAATAAATTGGTTGCTCAATCCACGACTGTTTGTGGGACACTGCTGTGCATATTTGGCTGCTGCGTTTCGCCCACAAATTATACAGTTAATTCACTTTGCAGAACATTCTGTGAAGTGCTTTGAGACGTCTCAAAAACGTGATAACATTGCATATCAAATGCAATTATTATTAATATAAACACCCAAGTTTAATTTAAACGGCTTCAGTTTTTAATTTTATGTACAGATCCCCTTAATAGACCCCAAATTTGGTCTTAACTTGTTAGCTGTTTATTTGTAGATCTTTAAGTGAACTCATATCTAAAATCAGTATGAATTGAGTTTTCCACAATTTAAAACAAAATAAGCAGGTAGTTTTGTGGCTCTGCTGTTGTCGATGAGTTGAGAGCAAGTTTAACAATGCAGGACCTTTGCAGGTACTCATGTGAAGTAAAAACACCAGACAAAGTGGATGAGATGATTGGTCTGTTTCTGAGCTGTACCTTTTATTAATCTATGACGTATACAGCAGAGTAACAGTAGAAACCTTCTTTGACTTGGAATGTTTCATTTGCAAGCCGTATTGGTATTTTCTCTCTTTAAATTTTTGTGTGAATTTTTGAGCTTGGAAGAGCTCATTAGTCCGGCAGAATGGTTCAATTTACAAGCATAGAATTGACAGATAGAAGAGGTAGCTGTCAATTGGGTTATCATTCTTCAGAACTTTCCCTCGATCAACTGTAATTCCAGTTGTTCCTGGGTTTGTTCTTATGTTCCTCAGCACATTCAGATCCTTTTTTTAAGCTAAGTTAAATGCAAAATAAACTCTATTTTCTATGTCCCAACAATTAGAGAGAAATATCACTTGGATCTAAATGTATTCTCTTTATGTTATATTTTGGAGCATAAGGGATGTGTCAGTTTTTTTTAAAAAAAAGTCTCAATTTGGAAGCCAAAAAAAAAAGTACGTTTTTTCAGAAACTTCAGAAACCCGAAGTCATGTCTTTCATGGTCATTCGAATGTCTGAATTCAACAGTTTGCGAAGTTCCGGATGCTCTGAAATGTTGCAGAAAGTGAGAAAAGCTAGAAAATTTCCAGGTGAAATTTCTCTCTCTATGTGCCTTAGCTCCCATTTCAGGTGAGTACCCATATTGTTCCAGTTTAAGATTTCCATTTCCCACAGCAAATGTCCCTTTGTTCTTCATGAGTATAGGAAGGTGGTCCAACAATGCAGCATATTGGATAAATTCTGTAGCAGCCCAGCCATTCCCTCTGCTCAGTGAGCATTGACCTGTTTCATGTCCCCTATCCTATCTGTCTCATTATTAATAGTTAGGCTTTCAGTCTATCTGTTCCCACTTTCTGGAACTCCATCCGGGTGTCTCTCCGACTCAGCCCGACTTCATGTCTTTCATGGTCATTCTAATGACCTTTCTTTTTGCCTGGGCCTTCATTCATCTTTACCCTCACCATTCCCCCTCGGCTCCCACCCTCAGCTCAGGTGCCCAGCCAGCACTGTCAAGTGCCTTGGGATGTCTTACCGATATAAAAGGCGCCACATACATGTATGTTCATATTGTATGTTACTAGACTTCGATGTGAGGATTTTTTTAATCCTTCAGAGCAAATATGTAGTAGATTTCTGTCCTTCATCTAATCCCACTGCAACCTGAGTCATGACTGCAAATTCATTTTTATCTGGCACAGCCCCAGAGAGAGAAAATGTTCATCCTATTATTCCTCAGGACCAGAGAGTGTCCAAAGCCAATGTTAGATATTCGTGATATTGTCCAATTGTGTCCTTTTTGGAAGGGAAGATTAAAAAATTTGGCTTTACTGAGAGAGTGGTTGGAATGTGAAATACTCTGCTACAAGTCATTGCTGAGACAGATCATAGATCATTTTAAAAGATAATTAGATAGATACTTGAAAACGAGGAATATTAAAGAGTACATGCAGTGACCAGAAGAGGGAGAATACATTTGGTGATCCATATGGAGGGAAAAAACACAGTGACACAGACTGCAAAGTCAAAATGGCATGTCTGTTCTGTAACATTTTATGGTTCTAAGTTCAATACAACCAAAGAATGATTCATAAAATATTTATAAATCTTTGATTTCTAGTCTAAACAGTGGGGTATCAGACATATAGTTCTTTTGAGGTTTGTGCAATTACTTATTTGCTCATCTATAAATATCTGTAGCTAAAGTGCTAATTTACTTTCTTCCACATGTCATCTTGACGCCAGTATCGGCCGGGGAGAGGTTATTTAAGGCTTTTTAGCAGGAAGGGCATTGGAGGGTCCAAGAATATTCTCTTCACTGGTTTCTATATGTTGCTGCTGTGCCATCTTTTTATTGCATTCTTTCTCCTGTAGCAATCATTATTTGCATTCAAAATGGTCCTGCGACCAAGCTTGGTTACAGCCTGTGGGCAAAAGAATTAATAAGCTATGCTTTGTTTTGCTTGATTTTACAAGAAGCCTTTTAAAATCTTGATCTTATGCCCAATCCTCGCTTTCAAATTTGCATAAAGCGTAGGAAGGCTTTTCCTATCACCAGCCATGGCTGGTATCTTCTTGTTTCTGCTTCAGAAAGTTGGAATAAATTATCAAATCCAAGATGGTCGATCTGGCAATGACTTCTATGCCTGCGGGAATCAAGAGCTTTTAGACACATCTCTGATCCTATTACCAGCAGCATTCTTACAAAAGAGGAATTATCCAAGCATCAGGAAAAGCCTTAAGTGGAGAGCCTTTCCACTATTGCCTTTGGGATCTGTTGCACAAAAATGGTAACTTTAACCTAGGCTATGGCGCTTGCCCTAAATTTTTCTCATAATCATTGAACATGGCAAAACCAAATCTCTGGCTGATGGTGTATCTTAGCAAACGTAGCAAAGAGTAGCACTTGTGAATTTCCAAGCATTTCTGGAGCCAGAACATATCAATTCAAGGGATCTGCACCTCCTTAATTCAGATTTTCCAAAGTGTCTCTACGTGGTGGTGGAGAGGACAAGAAATGAGACTAATAATAATAATCTTTGCATTTGATATAGCGCTTTATCATGTCTTCAAAACGCCTCAAAGCGCTTCACAGAATATACTGTAAAGTGAATTGACTGTATATTTTTATGGGCGAAACGCGGCAACCAATTGCACACAGCAGTGTCCCACAAACAGTCATGGATTGAGTGACCAAATTACACCCGGTTTATGGGAATTTAAGAGTAAATATTTCAAGAGTGAAGCTTGTAACTCTCAGTTTTGATTTGTGTGTATGTGTGTGTGTGTGTGTGTGTACATAGACCTGCCAGAGATTCGCTGTGATTTATACATGAGGAAAGCATTCCATTTCTGATTAGAAAATCCGCCTGATTAGTCTCTGTCAATCAGAGCAGAAAAGAGATGTATTTTTCTACTATACATAGGAAGAGGAAAGGGGAATGTTAGGTGCTAAAAAGACAATTGTCCTGAAAATATTACGAATCGGTTATACTAACTTATTCTGATGAATGTGAAATACTGCACCTCTAGTGAATTATTAGATCTTTATAATGTATAATGTCATGAATGAATCACAGTCCTGAAATTCCTTATGCTCTTAAAAATTAAAGATGAGTATATTTCTTAGGAGGAAGCATGGTCCCCTGGAGTGGTACTGGCTCCAAGATACTTCATCCCACTCAGATCCTGATAATCCTGCAAGCCAAGGGTAGGGTGGTCCTTCCTGAACAAGCAGCGGGAAAGCTGGCCTGTCAGTGCTATCAATGGCAAGCTCCGCGGTTTTAGCTGGTGAAGCTCCAGTAGTACCCCACACACACTCTAGGGTCACTGGGCTTTAGCTCGTGCCAACATGTGGCTAATATTCTCTGTAATTAGGTAAGCAGGATGGGTCCCTCCAGGGAGAGAATGTGCATTCCATTCCAATACACAGGAATTTCCATGTGTAGGTGGGGTGTATGCAATTCTTGCTTTGTTTTGGATACAATTAAGCATGGTGATGGGTTTCCGCATCAGATACCCAGCTGTCCAAAAAAAAGCTGAAGGGTAAATGGAGAGCATGTGTACTAGGTTCACTTTCTTACACTATGTTTAAAGCTTGTTTAATAATGTTATTGTATTGCTTTAGTTGTCTTTTTAAACCTATTTTCTCTTACTTTACAACAGCAATGCCTAAAAGCCAAAGAAGCTACGGAAGATACAGAGCTGGCCATAATTAAGACCCGACAGTGTATGAGCGAATTGAGGAGAGAAGTAAGTAAAATTTAGTTCTAAAGTAAGTTGAAAATAATGAAAGATGCACATCAGCCCTGCAGCCAAGATTCAAATGTAATTTTTTTTAACAGATTTAATAGAAGCTGCTTGCAGCAAATGTTCATTTCCACAAAAGAAACTAGATAAACTAGAGGTCTCAAAAAGAGGCGTCTCAGAGGGAACCTCGAGAGGTATATAAGATGGTAAATGAGATTGAGAAATGAAACCAAGAACAATACTCCAAATCAGCAGGAGATGAGGGGCACAAGTTCAAGATCGAGAAGTACAAGCTACAGACAAACAGCAAGATAGATTTCTTCACATTGAGGGTGATTCACAGTTGCAAGAATTGTAGAGGGCAGGAAGCTGGACTTGATTAAGAAAAAGCTTGATGGTGTAATGGGAAGATAATAGGATGAGATTTCTGAAAGGATGAAATCAAATGGGCCAAAGGGCCTCTTCATTCGAATGTCTCTTGTGATCTTGTGAGCTGATCAGAATCATAATGAGACTAGTTATTAAGACAGATGAAAGCTGATGACGAGGGTAGAATAATGTGAGTTGTGAACATGATTTGTAGCTTTTAAGCCATTGTCGGTGCTTCAAGCTATTAGGATTCAAGTGAAGAAAATTACTTTAATTTCTCCCATACACAAAGTGATCTATGCCAACTTGAACGCTTGTAACTCACCTGGTGAAGGAGCTGTATATATAATGGCAAAATTGGAAGTGCATTGATAGATGGCTAAACAGACTGAAACCACAGGTTTCCATTCAGTATACAGCTATGTCAGGCTCCTTCCTCACTTTGTGTTTCACAGAGACAGAGAGCAAGGTATTTTAGCTCTGTTGCTGCAGGTAGTCTGGGTGAGGTGGGATCAGCTGTGTTAATTTGCAGTATTTCTTGTTAGAACATTTGTAATCAAACATCAAATGTGGGAAAGAAAGCATTATCCCATTTTGAGAACATCCATTTGCACTGTATACCCTTGCATTGTATATAATAATGCCAGGTACAATTCTTTTTTGTTGTTTTTAAATGCAAAAGAAAGCTCTTTGACTCATGGTGCTTGTTCAGGTTCTCTGTTTAGTCACACTTCCCTACCTTTTCCCCATACGCTTTCCTTTTTTCCTTTTCAGATGTTTCCCTTTTTTCCTTTTCAGATGTTTCCCCTTATAGGTTCTCTTCAACCATTGTTTTTGGTACACCATTTTGTGTCCTAATAATAATAATAATTCTTGGTATAGAGCTTTTCACGTCTCCTAGACATCTCAAAGCACTTTACAGAATAGACTGTAAAGTGAATTGAATATATTTTGCAGTTGTGGTTTGAAATAACCAATTTATTATTTTTTTTGAGGGATTATTATCAGGCATGTGGAGTAAAGAAACTTGCCCAAGGTTTCACCCTGACAGGAATCTAACCCAAGTCTCTCGCTGGCAAAGCAAGTACTATAATCACTAAGTTACAGGACTCCACAAGTCTGTGCATTTTGTACATAGTACAAAATGCACAGTCGCTACACTTCACAATAAATCCTGCGAAGCAACCAAGATGCTACCCCCCATGAAGGGCGCTATAGAAATGAATATTGTTGTTGAGGTGTCTTCCCATTGTGAAAGGTAATATATCAAATGCAAGGATTAATATTAATAATCTGTGTAAAAGAAATTCTCCTACCTTCTCGCTTTGCGAAAACTTTAATGCACACACTGAAAATTGTAATCAGGGAAAACTTTATAATTGCTTGAAATATTGAATTGTCTTTTGCAGGTCAATTGATTAAATTTAAACATTAATATTTGTAATTGGTCTTCAACCTCGACCGTAAAGATTAATTATTCACTGTTTGTCAGATTTTACCCCGATTTCAACAGAATGTTATGAGGCCTAAAAGAGTTAAGTTACGAAGAAAGGCTGCGTAAACTTGGATTGTATTCCCTTGAGTTGAGAAGGTTGAGGGGTGATTTGATTGAGGTATTTAAGATGATAAAGGGATTTGATAGGGTAGGTTTAGAGAAGCTATTTCCTCTGGTGGGGGAATCCAAAACAAGAGAGCATATAGTCTTGAAATTAGAATCAAGCCATTTAAGAGTGAAATCAGGAAGCTTTTTTTCACTCAAAGGGTGATAGAAATCTGGAATTCTCTCCTCCAAAAGGCCGTGGATGCTGCATCTATCCACACCTTCAAGAGTGAGGTTGATAGATTTTTGGTAGGTCAGGGTAATAAGGGATATGGGGAGAAAGCAGGAAATTGGAATTGAAAGGATTAGTTGAGGTATAGATTAGCCATGATCTAATTGAATGGTGGAAAGGCACGAAGGGCTGAATGGCCTACTACTGTTCCTATATTCCTGTGGTGCAGTAGGTAAAATTACACACTGCCCAGTTTAGCAGTAAAATCACAGTATTGATTCTGGGTATGCGAGACTGCTAATCTGTCTCCTTAAAACAGGAAATATAAACCAGCGTTCTTGTGCTCCTTATCTTTATGCAGTGACCACGAACACAAATTGTCCATTTGTACACATCAAGCTATTCTAGGATTAGGCTCAGCTTTGATGTCTCCTTCAAACCATGTCCATACAAACCTAGATACTCATTTACTGGGCACAAGAATAATCTCTCAGCCAAAGTAATAGAGGGCTGGTCTTTCATACAGAACTAGTTTTAGGCAAGAGCTAGTACCATTCATAGTGAAAAGAAAACTACAACAACAACAAGATTCCATTTATAAAGCGCCTTTCACGTCAGGAGGACGTCCCTCCTATTAGCAATAAGAAAGTAAATGCGGTGCACTCCTAGATAACTGGACCCTGGCTTAACTTGTCACTACCATTTAATTCAGGCTGTCAATATCCTGACAGCATTTATTCATATATTTATACACATGCCTAACTCGCCACTTCTGATTACTCGTCACTGAGCCATTTTCCCTCGGAGTGACGAGTTATAAGGAGTTTATTATACACAATTTAGATTGCCAGTACAATTCACAAACCATTTCCTTGTTTGTTTAACACAGAAAATAATTTGGCTGAGAAATAAAATTGTTGCGAAAATCATGTCATTGTGAGAACTCTTCTTTTCCTCAGCTTCAAAACGCAGCAGTGCAGTTAGCAGCAGATCTTCTGAAGTGCTACACAGAACATGTAGTCCTTAAAGCGCTGAAAGTTTCTGGATCTGAAGGAAACTTAGAGGTAGTGGCTGAATATACGGGCAAACTATCGGAACAGAAGGAACAGCTGATTGAGGTAAAGGGCACCACTGGGAATATAAAGCATCACCAAATCGGGTTGCCATCAGAAAGAGTCTTGAAACTCTTGTAAATGCAATAATAACAAAGCAAGAAGTATAAGGCATCGTAATGCAGCAGAAAAATGTACTTAATGCCTGTGGTTAAAGTTGATTAAAAAAAATACAGCAATGTTCAATCCCCTGCAGTTTCTCTGAAACGTTGCTCAATTTCTGCAGAGTGAGTCCTAATGGTGTTCTAACTTTTTTTTTAGTATCTGATGAAAGTATCTTGAACCAGGTAATACTTTCATTAAGAACATAAAGTATGGAACATTATCAGTACCTCAACGCAACCTGTGCCTAAAACTCTTTGGAATTAAGTAAACAGGATGCGTGCCTCCAGGGAGAGAGTGTACATTCCATTCCAAACAGAGGAAACATTCCCGGTGTAGGTGCCATATCTATGTGGAACTCTGTCTGGTTTGGATATTTTTCAGTTTGGCAATTGATTTCTGCATGTGTCAGACAGCTGCTGACCAAAAAACCCCAGTAAACTACACAAGGTTAGAATAATCTCTTTTGATTTAGGAATCGTAGTGTTAGTCGATTAACTATGTTGATGATAGCTTTACATTGTCTGGAAACCTTTAGTGAAGTAGCAATAGCCATCGAAACTCTTTTCCTTCTCCACCTCTGCTGCTGATCACTCAATCATTGTGTCCACGTTACCATTTTGCGTTTTAGTGTGGTTAGTTTGCATTTGCCCATCTTAAATTTCATCTGCTACCCCCATCTTCATAATTGTACTTTCTCTGCCTTCAAAACTCTTTTAAAAGCCTATCTCCCTGTCCTTGGTCAACAACCTTAAACTCCTTCTCCTCTGGTTCCTGCTTATTGATCCCCATTGTTTTTGTTAAGTGCATTATGTCATTATTCTATGTGAAAGGCACTATAAATAATTATAAACCTTATATGTATTATAATGTCCAAACTTCTCAAATTGCTGCACCGGCAATTGCTGTCAACCATAGTGACTGTATTTGTAAGCAATCGTGACAGCCAATTAGCGCACAGTAGAGTCCCGTAAATGCAAGTGATTAATTGGTTGAGATTTCCTTTTCATGCACCTTGTACGGTATTATTCACCTCTCTTGTATTTTGGTGTTATCAGTGAATGTTATAACACTGAAAGTACTTTATGGTGTGCCCACCACCCTCGGCTCTCACACCCATCTCTGGTTCCAAGCCTGTTAAGCTCCTTAAAAGATCTCTGGATGGGAAAGGCGCTATATAAATGCAAATTTGTATAGTATTGTATGGCTTGGGAGAAATGTAGAAAAGCCAGGCCACGGATTGTGAACCAAAGCAAGTCATTCATCTGTTTCACAATTGTTCCTGTGGTGTGATTGTCCAGATGTAGACTGGAAGTATTGCTGACGAGGAGTGTTTGTACATGAAATGTCAAATGTTAATATTGGGATTGATGAATCGCTTAATAAAAGTTAAAGGATTCTTAGCAAATGCAAACCAGTGGAAGAGATTGAGACTGTTTGAATTTTGACTCAATGAAAGTGAGTGTCTTTGTGCTTCTTGTAGAGATATCTAAATATCAATATTTCCATGATATTCTGGTTGCTGTTTCTCTTCCCCCCCCACCAGACATGTCGATTACTGAGGCATATTTCAGGAACTGAACCTCTGGAGATCACTTGCATACATGCAGAAGAAACCTTTCAAGTTATTGGCCCACAAGTAAGTAAGTTTTTACTGAATGGAATTTTCTCTTTTTTAAAAAAAGAGACAGAGATACGAGTGAGGTTTGGGTATTGTCTCACTCACTCCCATTGTTCTGGGCTTTCCTGTATTACACATCCATCAGCTGAAGCTGACTGTCCTGCTATGGTGCCAAGGGATGCCGGGAGGGAAGTGGGGTTTCCTTGGAGCTGAACTGGCTCCAAGGTGACATGTTTGGCAACGGAATGTCAAAATCGAGTCAATCGCGGTGGAGATGTCAGGGGTCTGGGTAGTCCAGTTCCTGAGCCAGGAGGGTCTGCGGTATTCCAGGGTGCTGCTGATGACAGCACAGCACATCGGTAGGACTTGGAAGAGCCAACCAATCACTGGGATCTAGAATCATTCACATTCAGCTCCTGGTAACCCTGCAAGCCAAAGCTTCAAAGGGTAAAGTGGCCCTAACTAGACAACCAGCAGGAGCCTTGCCAGACATTGCCGTCAATGCAAACTTTGTATTTTTTGCTGGTTATACTCCAGCATCACCTCAATACACATACACACCTGCACCTAATACTCTCTGCACTTAGTTAAGCAGGGTACGTCCCTCTGGGGAGAGAGAGTCACATTCCATTCCAGACACAGGAATATCCATGCGTAGGTGGCATACGTGGAACATCTCAGTCTAGATTGGATACTCTTTAAGCATCCGTGAGTATCAGACACCCGGTTGACCAAAATTAAAAAAATCAGAATATCATCTGAAGCTGTGGGAATGGGTGAGCACGGGGGCCCCTGTCAGCCTGTGTCTCCTGCCAGTTGGAGATAAGTCCAGTAGTACTTGGTCATAAGACTCCCTCCTCCCCTACATGAGGAAGGGAGTGAGGCTGACATTTTCAGCCTCGAGTGCCCGTGTGAAGTTGTGACATCCTGTGAAGCTGGCAGAGATGTCAGAGGTGCAGTCCAAATGTGTCCCGTGTTTTTACAGGTAAAATTGCAGCTTCTGACAGGCCACTTAAGTAAACACTGTTACTATGTACAACTTGCTGCTCAATCGCCAGATCCACTGCGAAGAAGCATTAATGTGCTTTAGGTACACAAGTTGTGTCCTCGCACTGTGTAACCAAACGGCTTCATGTGGCCCCAAAGTCTGTTCCCCACACAACTCTGTTAATATGCCCATGTGTACCTCTGCAACACAAAAGGCTTCTTTCATCGCAGGTAAATTAATTGTTTTCTTTCACAGATCATTTCTGCTGCCCAGACCTTGGCTCTGCACCCTTCCAGTAAGATTGCTAAAGAAAACCTTGACGTCTTTTGTGAGGCTTGGGAGTCGCAGCTGAATGACATGTCCATCCTGCTGAAAGAGATCAATGACGTGTTTGAAGGGAGAAGAGGTGAATAGTCTTTGCTCAGGACTCAGCCTGGTTTCTGCATTACTAAATCCAGATTGTTGGCTTGATAGCAGCATAATACATAGATTCTATCAGATGGCCTTGAGGAAGAATGCTACCGTTTAAAACGAAATCTCTCGTGCCTTAAATTTCAAATTGCATCTAGATAGATGAGTTATGTACTTTGTGAAAAAGTCTTATGCCGCATTTACATAGTGGAGTCCTGTAGCTCAGTGGTTAGAGCACTCGCTTTGCAAGCGAGAGACCTGAGTTCAATTCCCGGCAGAGGGCAAAACCTTGGGCAAGTTTTCTTACTCCACACGCCTAATAATAATCCCTCCAAAACCAAAAACAATAATAAATTGGTCATTTTCAATCTACGACTGTTTGTGGGACATTGCTGTGCGCAATTGGCTGCCGTGTTCGCCCACAAATATACAGTCAATTCACTTTACAGTGTGTTCTGTGAAGCGCTTTGGGACGTCCTCCCGACGTGAAAAGCGCTATATCAAATGCAAGGATTATTATTATTACGCACCCTTCTGTCTACCCACTACAGCATTAAGCAGTTTCTTAAATTAGTTCAGCGTCTGGCCTCAATCCTGATGGCCAGTTCCAGTTGTTGATTACTCTTGGTTTACCCCCGAGATGTGTCTAAAATTCTGAAGCTCTAGACGTATCTGGAAGTATTGTTCGGGGTTTACTTTCTCTATTTTCTGTTTACCTAGCAGTAATTAGGAAACCGGTTGTTAGTTGATTGGTGGATCGCTTTTCCAAGCGAAATAATTCCTTCAACAAAAAAGAATTGGTCACTTCAATCCATAACTGTTTGTGGGACACTGCTGTGTGCGATTGGCTGCTGCGTTTCACCCACAAAATATACAGTCAATTCACTTTGCACTATATTCTGTGAAGCGCTTTGAGACATCTAGAAGATGTGATAAGTCGCCACAGCAAATGCAAGGATTATTATTAGTTAACAACTTGTACACAATGCAACCCTGTTCCAATGAGCCTCACTAGAGTGTAAATTTGCCTATAATGTGGTTGCACTGTGGACCCCATTCACTGCACATGCAACGCCGTGGCCTGTTCACTGATTTTTGGCTAAAACGGCCAACTTAATGGTCATTAGGTCAACTTCACTTTCGGCATTGCTGTGCGTGTGCAAAGCAGAAAGTGATGTTGACAACGACCTAATGACCTGGAAGTCAGCCATTTTTAGCTTTCCGTGCTAAAAAAACTGATTGACCACCTAAACCCACACCTTCTCATAGGTCTGGAGCAACCCAAAACCTTTCTGATTTTCCACAAACGCAACATCTGTTGAGCACACCTTTTAACCAGTGACTGCTCTGAAATCCATCAAAATATGTGACCTTGCTCTGGTGCATTTGATTTTGTTTTTTGGGCAGCCAGGGATCTGACACACGTGGAATCCATCACCATGCACGAGTCTCCAGACACCAATTGGGCAACTTCTCAGTAATTGTTCAGCTAGGAACACCACACTGTTGGGGCCATGATTTTAGGGTTAATAGGAGCCAGGTTAACTGGCCTGTCATCAACAGTGCCTTAGAGAACTGACTCAGAACAAGACGACTGGGACTGTTGCAAAAGACTGATTTTATTCCAGTATTCCTTTGCCAGGAGTGGAGACAACTTAGCCTCGAAGAGACTGAGACCCCTACCTACCTCCCCAAGGAAGATATTCACTAGTTTACCATTAGATATTTAACAGGTGTAGATTTGAGTCCTCACTGGATAGCAGGTACCAGGAATTCTTCACAAACTGCATAGTGACAACTCAGGACAACTCAGTATAAAATATAGGAGAGTGTTTTTTTTCTATTCTCCTGAACATAGCTTGGACACACAACTCTACCTATTGAGAGGTGGCTGCACTGTATGGAGGTGCGGAGCTTCAGCTATTTACTCACTGTATGCCTATCAAATAAGGTGGATATCAAGCATATGAATGTATGAGGTTGTGTTTATGAACCTGGACTCCAGGTAATGACGTCCAGCAGCTATCATCCTGAGCCTTGGAGTTTCTCATCCTTATTTGACGGCTATCTGCTTTCATTGTGGAGAAAGCTTCAGGGCCACGTCCGACCTCCCAGTCACCTTCGTGTTTTAGAGGTCGATGTCTTGCTAACCACTTACTGACCATCAACTGAATAATCCAGGTCCTCACGCGAGGTGCTTTGGCAAAGAGACAAACCTGCTATGAAGCTGACTCCACCTTATCAGAACGTGGTGGAGTATTCGTGGAGCTATTTGGGTGCAATGGGAGACGGGAGAACTTGGCTGGAACTTATGTGACTTTTTTGGGTGGTAGAGGGAAGAAATTCACCTGATTTTTTCCCCTTCAATTTCTCCTCTGAAGAGCTTTGTATGTAGTTCCTTGGCACCAGACACCCTCTAGTGGCTGTTCTGCTCATGTGCGGCTTGGACCAATGTGAGTTGAGCTGAAGCTTATCGGCTAAACTTGTTCATACACATCTATGTCCCGTGATTATGTATTTTACCAACAATAAAAGTAATTGCATGTCATTCTGACATTTGTGTGCCTTTGAACATGGTTAGTCCACGGGTTATTAGCCCAACCTGCAGTTTAGTGAATGTTAGTGGTCTATCAACAGAGAGGATCAACATAGCTGTGCCCAATCTTGTCCTTGCTTGACATTTGCATAATGCACTCTCTTTGGGATCAAACTGGAGACACAACAGGAATGAATGTCTGAGTTCTGCGTTATACCAACTTGACTTATCGGGCAAGCGAATGTCCAAGTAATGATGATACAGCTCATCTGAAACCAGGACTCTGGGAAATGGGGAATCATATGTGACTGCCACAAACAAATCATAGTAACGTAGTAACATAGTAAGAGACAGCCACACACTGATCTGAATGTACTCCAAACCAACTGGAGGATTGATTTTGGAAGCGAGAGACCTCTTGTTGGGAGATACCTTGTTTCTAAAGCAGTTTCAGATCTGAGCTGTCTCTCACTGATATTATGGTCCCATTTGCCTGTTCAGGTGGCTGTTGAAGATCCAAAAAGAGAATGGAATTGCTCCTGGAGTCATGGCCAACAATCCCCAGATAAAATTGGTCATTCTCTTCATGGCAGTTTGTGGGACACTGCTGTGTAAATATTTGCTGTCATATTCACATATCAATACATAGTAAAATCCTGTGAAGAACTTTGAGATGGTTTGACAACATGATAGATGCTATTTGAAATGCAAGGGTTATTATTATAATATGTTTTCATCTTTGAAAACTCAAATGAGATAGCGCATTACCACATATTTCAAGAAGTATTAACGAATATGGAGAAAGAGATGGAAAGTCGAATAAACAATAAAAGGTGACTTGGAGAAACAGCAGCAATAGCATAGAAGAGCTGAGTGGCCTGTTTCTAGACTGTAAGTTGTGCAGCATTGATTAATATAATCAAAAGAGGATGTTTCTCTTATCCACAATCCATAATCTGTTTCTGAAATAGTTCCTTTGTGTTTCACCTTGTTGCATTTAACAATGGTTTATTTTCATCTGTTTCCCTAGGAGAGAAGCGTGTGTACCTTTCGCTACCTAGACCAGGGGTGAGTATTATTCCATTTGTTTTTATTTATAAAACAATTCCAAACAATCTCACCCTTTGGGGCTCCAAATTCCAACCAGCCTTATAACAGGGTGTGATCGCCGGGCAGCACTTCTGATCATGTCATCATCGATATGCGACTTTGAGCAGAAAACCACCGTTCTGCATTAGACCAGGTCGTGCTCAAAATCACATCATTGCACTTCGCAACGTATCATTGCACTTCTCATGTTATCTCACTTTAAAAGGCGGTATTGCATACATGTTTAAGTGTGATAACAATCTAATGTGCACCGATGGTGCTATAGATGTGAATTTGGAAGTTTTTTGTCAATGTCAAGGTCTATCCCTCACATTATAATGGGGTCCTAGAGTATAATTAAGCTGTTGGTATAAGTGAAAATACAAGACCGTACTGTTCTCTCATATCTTTATCTGTTTGCATCAGAAACACAATTCAAATCTGAAGATGGTTAAAGCAGTCAAACTAGATGCCGAGGTAAGACATTTCTATTTGGTTATCATTGCTTAAAAGTAAAGCAGTAATTCTTTTGTTGCCTGAAAGAAGCAGGCATAGCATTGCTAAACCAAGGTTTACTCTGGTCCTCAGCTAGTTGGCTAATCCTCCAGTGCGATTGTCAGCATTTGGACACGTAACGTTTCTGTGTTTCAGGAACAGGCCAAAATGGCAAAGTTAGGGCTGGAGCTGCGTCTGCACACGTCAGATGTAGATGCAGAAACGGAGAGATGGGAGGACCAGGACAGCGAGATTCTTCGGCAAGCCCAGAGCATGTCGAGCATGGCCTACTCCATGTACCTATTCACCAGGTAGGAGCGAGTTTGCAATCAACCTTCCAAAACCATTGCTTTTAATTTACGTTCCTGATGCTTTTTGTGAGAATGCACCACTTCTACTTAAAATGGTGTGAACATGTATCAAGGCTACACATACATATTACAGTAGAACCTTTGTTACTCTTATTTCTCACCTTAATATTTGGACTTAGTTTCTTGACTTTATTGACAGCTTTGCTCCATCCTGCTCCCCAGCAACCTTGAATTGCAGATGGTGGAGCTGTGAACCTCGTGTGTAGGGTTGTGTGTGTGTATGCGGAGTCCTGTAGCTCAGCGGTTAGAGCACTTGCCTCATAAATGAGAGACCAGGGTTTGATTCCCGGGCAGGATGAAATGTTGGGCAAGTTTGCGTACTCCACACATTTCTGTTTACTTAGCAGTAAGTAAGAACCCGGTTGTTAGTCAATTGGCAGATCACTTTTCTGGGAGTAATAATTCCTTCAAAAAAAATAAAAGTTTGGTCACTCAATCCAAGACTGTTTGTGGGACATTGCTGTGCGCAATTGACTGCCGTTTTCCGCCCACAAAATATACAGTCAGTTCACTTTACAGTATACTCTGTGAAGTGCTTTGAGACATCTCAAAGACGTGATAAGGCGCTATATCAAATCCAAGGATTATTATGTTATTATGTGTGTGTGTAGGGAGGGGGGAGAAAAGGACAGAAGTTTTAATGTGGGATTTTTTCCCATTCTTTTCTGCATGTGACCATGGTCTTCAGACATACTAATGATAATGGTAATTAATAATAATGGCAGAGATTATCTTCAGGCCTTCTTGGATAACCTGAGGATCTGACGTCCCAGTGAGACAAACAGAGAGCTTGTAACTCCACTGTATGAGTATGTTGGGATTTTCATTCTCGTAATCTAGGATGATACCAATGAAGTGCCGATGGAGTGCTGTACTATCAAAGGTGCTGGATTTCAGATGAGATGTTGTCTGCTTGTTCAGGTGGACATTTAACATCCCGTGGCACTATTCAAAAAGAGAAGGGAGTTTCTTCCAGTGTCCTGGCCAACAATTCTCCAGCAAAATTCACTCCATAGCTCAATATGCCTCTGCCCAAACTGGCCCTCATGTTCACCTGCAAATATATAGTCACTACACTTTAAAGACACTGTGAATGTTTGAAATGTTCTTGGCATTAAGGGGTCTATATCCTTGCCTCCTTCAAGACCTTCCTATTTGATGGTGTTGTTGGTCATCCTTCTACCCTCACACTCCCAGTCCTCCACCTCTACTGATCCTAACCCCCAGTTGGGTTCACATCTTGACTGTTCCAGTGCTTTGAGGCATCCTCCCGACGTGAAAGGCGCTATGCAAATATAATTTGTTGTTGTTACACCAAATGCAAGGGTTATTATTATTACCGCACATTGTAGATCTGAATTTTGTCCTTTCCGAGGCTTAAGACCATTGTTGTAAAACTTAAGAAATTTGGAAAATCATCCAAAATTCAGTCTAGATTAGGAAGCTGACTTACCACAGTTTTGTTTGATATTGCAGAGAGTCTACTTCTAAATTAAGATTGAATTTAAAACTATTTCCCCAAATTCTGCCAAATCTTTACTTTTTAACACAGCGGCCTAAGCCTAAGAACAGGAGAACTTTCAGGCTCTGACTTTCGTAGAATTGCAATGGTGTTTGTTGTTCATGGTGATTATATGTTATATTTATGATTAAAATTTTTCCTTTTNAAAAAAATAATCCTAAGAACTTTGTTTAATTCAGAGGAGAAGGCCTTTTGAAAACAACACAAGATTTATTTCACCAAGCAGAAGTAAGTGCACAGATTGTTGTGGGTGTTCTGTATATTTGGGTTAACCCAGATCTTTCCTTCAATTCAAACATTGGGGTAGAATTGTGTTGCCTGTTCCCACCTCTCTACATTTTCTTTACATATTCCTACGTTTTCTACATGCTCCAAATCAACATAGGAATTGCTGCATTTAATTTTCAACAAACACCTGAATACTAAGGGATACAAGTTAAAGGCTCTGAAACCCTGGTCCATGCTTTTGTCACCTCTTGGCTGGACTATTCAAATGCCCTCCTCGCCGGTCTCCCCTCCATTACCATTCATAAAATCCAGGTCATACAAAACTCTGCCGTCTGCATTCTCACCCACACCAAACTCCGCTCCCCGATCACGCCAGTCCTTGCCAGACTGCACTGGCTGCCTGTCCCAGAGAGGATCGACTTCAAGATCCTTACCCTTGTCTTCAAATCCCTCCACCCGCCTGCACCCCCTACCACTCTGACCTCCTCTCTCCTCACAACAGTGCCCGTTGCCTTCGCTCCACCGGGCCTGGCCTCCTCCTCATCCCCCGAGTCCTCCGCTCCACAGTCAGCGGCCGTGCCTTCAGCCACTATGCCCCGAGGCTCTGGAACTCCCTTCCTCACTCCCTTCGCCTCATCCCCTCTATTCCTATTTTCAGATCTCAGCTGAAGACCTTTCTTTTCGACCGCACCTTTGGTCACCTTCCTCCCCCTCCCCCTGACTCGGCCCCGGGATCCGTTACTGTGAAGCGCTCTGAGACACTGTCCAGTGTGGAGGGCACTATATAAATCCAAGTTGTTGTTGTTAACAAGAATTTAGGAATAAGGAAGGAAGTCAGGTACACTTTTTTTACTCCGGGAATATATTATCAGGGAAGGCCATTAGAGGCCAACCAGAGGACAGTAGGTATCAGAGGGCAAGAGACTTATGGAGGCAACAGGCTTATGGACTTTTTTGTTTGCTAAAACAAAATTTTGTTATTAAGGAAATTTAAATATATATTATCCTTCCTGAATAATCCAGTGTGGAGCAGGGGGCTAACTTGAGACTCTCCTTCAGTATCTTTCTTCTTTATTTCTCATTGGGGATGAGTTGTAACCATGCTGGAGAACTAAGCATTGCCAATGTGGTAGCAAGAGCTAGCCTTTCTCCACTTTACTGTGCAGCGACTGAACCCTAGGCTCAATAGAGTAGCCATGCAGCTCACATGGAGTTTCTGGTACCTGCTATCCACTGAGTGATACCATCTATGTTAAAAAACTTATGTCCCATCACAACTTTCCTTGTGTTTTTGTTTAAATTTACATTCATATTTTTTAATGTCTGTCTGAAATGATTGAATCTAATTTTTTTATATGTTCGATGTTTTATATAACTCTGCTCACACGGCATTTCAATACCCACCACCTTCGCTCAGCTGGCTTCTTCATATCCCTTGTCCTATGGAACTCCCTGCCTCAGTCCCTCTGTCTTGCCCCCTCTTTGAAAACTGGCATCAATTATGTTTGAGTTCATGAATTTTCCAAAATCTGCACAATCTCATATTTTAAGACAATGGTTTTAAGATCAGGCACAAGTTTGGTAGAATTACAAGCAATTTTGTTAAGCTACTTTGTTAGTTCTTCTAATACTTCAATATATACAATCCTTGCAAAAAATGAAGAGGCAATATTAATAGAGGTCTGATTTATAACAATACATGTGCTTTGTTTTCAAAACTGTTTTTTTAATTGCAGATCTTTGCTGAAGAAGGTCTTAGGTTCTTTTCAACTGTGCATGCGTTTTCAAATCAGGTAGGCTGCTAATCTCTCCTCAACATGCATCTGATAAATAAAGAGTCTTCCAAGACCTGGACTGCCATGCTGATTACTGGGGAAAGGTTTAGAGAAGGGAGGTTCTCCGGGGTTGTGGCCAATGATCTCCCAAATAAATAAATTGACGACTCGCTTTATGGTTGTTTGTGGAACAATGCTGTACACAAATAGGCTGCCATGTTTGCCTACAAAATACAATCACTACACTTGACAGTAAATCCTGTGAAGCACTTTTGAGACATTCTCCAAATGCAAAAGGTTTATTAAAAGACTGATGTCAGCTTGGCTCAGTTGGTAGCAGTCTTGCCTCTGAATCAAAGTTTGTGGGTGCAAGCCCCAGGTTGGGATTTTGAGCGAATAAACTTGGCCAACACTCCTGGGGGGTGTTGCATTGTTGGAGGTGCATGTTTGGTGCAAACTGAGATCCCATCTGCCTATTCAGGTGGATGTTAAAGGTCCTGTATCACTATTTGAAAAGAGAAGGGAATTTTTCCTGGTGTCATAACCAACAATTTAAATTTTAAAATTTAAATTTTAAATTGTTCATTCACTTCATAGCTCTTTTGGGGACATTGCTGTTTGCAAATTGGCTGCCACGTTCATCTCCAAAATAGTTACTACACTTTACAGTAAATTCTGTGAAGCGCCCTGCCATTCTGACAACATAATAGTGTTATATCAGATGCAACTGATTTAGTATTTTATACAACTTCAGGCCAGCATTAATATATTTCAGAAAATCATGTTTGTGGATCTCTTGCACTACAGTTTCAAAGCCACAAATTAAATTCGATATTTACCAGTTTAGCCTATCCAAAAACCTTTTGGTTTTGGTTCTTGAGAAATTTGATTCAGAATCTTATTTATGTGTGAAACAAATAACAATAGGTGGAGTGTGAACATTAAGTTAGGACTTGCTCAAAATCATTATAATCCATTACTTTTAAATCAATTTTCATGGATATTTTATTGAACTGTCTACTGTGGGAGTGTCTGGTGAAGCAGTGCGTACACACACTGTGGTTTAGTTATTCAGACCATGTTGCACACAAAATTACTGCCATTTGCAGAATAACAAAATTATCACAGACAAATATTCTCAGTCTTTATTTTATTAGCCATGCAATTTGTATTTATTAACTGGAAGATCTGATCTGAATGAATTAGATACACTGAATGTAGTTTACTGGAAAATGTGCTGTTCCATTTAGTTCTCAATAACAGAATATTAGATTGCAAACAATAATTACTTGACATTATTTTGACTGTGACTTAAAACTGATTTGATGTTTTTCTTTTTTCAGCTGCAGGAGGAAGAGAAGACAAATCTCCTGCTGGAGGCTGATAAACTCCCTGCCTTATGTCACCAGCAGCAGATGACCAGTAGGACTCCTGTGCATGGCAAAGCTGCTATCTTTACCAAGGTCAGTTATTTCCTCATTATGTAGAGACCCACGTATTCTAGAACTGATCTGTAAACATGTTATAGTGGTTCAGTTCAGATTTATTGTTCACAGTTTAATTGTCAATAATGAGACCTAATTTGTAATATTTGCCAATCGGAACTGTATCATTTGCGACTCCTGGTTTGTGATGTCTGACTTGCAAAATGCACAACAGATTCTTGTCTTCCAAGTGAAAAAAGTCAGAGAGAAGACATCAAGCAAAACACCAATTTTGGTAGCAGGCCTTTACTTCAGATTCGCAAGCTGCAAATTTCAGTCTCAAATTCACTATAATTTACACAACAAATCCATCTTAAAATTATCACAAATAAGCAGGGAATGTTTTTTGAGAAGATAACTCCATTGGGGGTTGTTAACACTGGAACAAAATTATGGGCTAAACGGATTCTTTTGTGTGATATGAATGTTTTGTGGTTCTGTTAACAGCGTTGATTACATATTGAAACAGGATCACTGAGTATCCAGAGTAAGATGTGAATTAGTAATTGGTGAAAGATAAAGGAAGTTAGTGTACATAAATGATCGAATTTGAAGACTCAGTACATGTACAGTAGAGCCACATCACTATTCCGTAGTTGGGGTCCAAATCATCTGTAATAACAGTGCTATGATTGCCAGTCACTTGTTCATCATCTCCTGTGTGCTGAAAAACTGATCACCTTCCAGGCCATAAAGTTGCACTCCTATCACTTCCTGTGCACATCAGAATCACCTAGAAACCTGCCATTGCTAACACGGGTCTGTGACTAACATTGTGACTGTGGGGAAATTGGGGAAAATGTTGCAATCAAAAATGATGAGATGGCAGTGGTCTTACAAAGAGGATATGCACCTGAGCTGTTCATTAACAATGAAGCTTAAAAAAGATAAGGTACTGCATAGTACTAATAGGGACTTGCACAATGGATTTAATAATAGGGATTTATGCCATTGATGAAGATCTGAGTGTCAGTTGAATCATCACTCATCATATCAAAACAGTGTGAGGCAGTAAAAAAAGTACATTCTCAAATTAGTTGAGTTTAAACTCATGCTGAAGCTCGTGATTGATCATATCTGGAGAACAGAACTTCTGACATTAAAAAAAATATAATGGGAAAACAGTGGGGTTGGCATTCAGGAAGGATGGGCCATAAGGGTTTTGTTTATCCAAACCTCCCATCATTTTGTATAAAGAAACATTCCTCATTTATTTTTTGGTTAGTAAAAATTTTAATAGGAATCTATGTAGCAGTGGTGGCTGCCAGGAGAGATCTGTGCTTAATTGTCATTTCTTAAAGAAAATCTACATTAATTGCTGAATACAGTACAGCAGTACTTTAATTTGTTATTGAAATAAAAGGCACTATTGTGTGTTTCTAGGTCGACACTTCCATTCAGGAAACTAAGAATGTAATGACTGTATTAATGAAGATGCTTTCTCTATGTTACAATCTGTTAAAAAAGGTAAGATTGTTTTGTATTACTGATGAATCCTGAACTGCAGTTTAGCAAGATAGTGTTTGAATTTAGCAGCTAGTAAATAATGCAACTGAAATAATGCAGAACGCCATAAGTTAAATCAAGAACACTTTTAGCAGCAAATAAAACAATTCTGAACTCACTTGTGTACCACAGAAATGCTGTTAGAAATTGAGTTTTACTCTTACCATACATGAAAACCAGGAATTCACTTCCCACCCTTCTGTGGAATAGTACATTAGTACAATAGTATGTTTCGCCCACAAAATATACAGTCAATTCACTTCACATTATATTCTGTGAAGTGCTTTGAGACGTCTCGAAGACGTAATAAGGCGCTATATCAAATGAAAGGATTATTATTAAAATATAATCGACAGAGTCGATTTACTGTATCTTTGAAAACTCAGTTTAACCCTTTTGAGTATTCAAATTGTTTTAAAGTCGTGTATAAAATATTATGGAATCTAAACCTCATTTAATGACTATTGCAATTCAAGCTACATTTAGTTTCAGTATGTGAACCATGTTTTGGGGATCAAAATGTTAATCCTGCTCCTTGGTTAAATTGTTTTGTGTGTATTACAGTATAAAATGGACAGAACTTTCATGAGTTCTCCCCACGGCTGGAGAAGAAACCAGTTGCAGACAGTTACCAATGGCGAGAGCTCGGAGGGAAAGAACGGGGATACATTTGGAGTGAAATCTCTGGAAAGGCACATGGCAAACTTAACGTTTTTGGAGAGTAAATGATGGGCAGCTCTGGAGTGTAGTCATAACTTTAAAATAGCTTTGTCACATGTCCTGTAAATGCTGTGCAGCTCCATCTGCAGTTTGTCAGTTCCCAGTAACCAACATCCATTTACATTTGTACTTCCCAGTATGAAAGGAACACCAGCGTTACTCTTCTCCAACAGACTCTCTGCTTGGACACCTGGCTCCTTCAGAGCTTCTACTTTTAAACAGTATTTTTCTAGCTCTGTAGTATTTAAAATAATATGAGCAGAACTGTTCCTTTGGTTAGTTATCTCCCTGCAGTGTATTGACGCTGGATTCCCCCGATTAGCTGCTTGTGGTTTGTCTGGACCTTTGCAAAAGATTTGCTTATGCGATTAGTCCTCTGATGCTGCTATGTCATAATTTTTTTAAGAACAAACTGGATATTACAGGATAAGGAGGTGAACTACTGCTGTTTTAAGTTAATTGAACCAATGATTTTCTCTGCAGGTTCTTTGCTGACTCGGGTGCATCCAAATCAAGCATACGCTTGGCCTTATCTCCCCTGTATCTATTTCTCCTCCTCCCATTATTGTGTATACATTTCTCACAGTAAATCTTCTGCAGATCAAAAATTATACCAATGTATCGGATATTATGACATTGCACTTGTATCTCCTCAGAGTTTTCAGAATCTTGGATGGTTTGGGCTTTCATCCTGAAAGTCTAAATTGGCATCAGAACACACGCAATTTAATTTGAAACCGCTTTTGTTTCTGTAAGATGTAGGTCACAGGAGATTTATAGCAAGGAGAGTTTCCCTTCCACACCCTTCTTTTTTCCCCCCATAAACACTTTATGTAACATCACCATGTTCAGGTAACTTGATTCTGTCGTGAAGTGGGGTTGGAATGTTGATGCATGAACGAACTACTGGAAATTTAGTATAGAAAACTTCTACTGTATTTGTATTACCTGTAAAAGCAGTGTTTTTTATATTTCTCTGATAATTAACTTGTAAAGTTATATTTTTTAAAATAAAATTCTAATTCATTAATCTTTAACATTTTTCTGGTGTTTAATGAACTTCACAAAGGGCATGTTCAGTCAAGCTGGGAACTTTAAAGATATACATGTTCTCCAAAATACATTTCTCTCAAATGATCCATTTACCAATAGTCTGATACTTTTTCTCTCTGATGCTATTTTGACTATGCCCGGTTTAAATATTCAATGTTTGGCATTATATATTGGCAACGGTACAGTATATTATTCAGGAACTGGAGTGATTGACTTGTTCCTCAGCAAAACTGGTTTACAAAATTCTCACGATTGGCTGTCTGGCTATTCATAACTTGACTCATTCCCACATAAAGAACTTTATTTTTAACCAATTGTTTTAAATAAAGGCTGTTGGTCAGAATAATGCATTTATAAATACAGTACATATTTAACAACCTCATCAAAAGATGAGGTATGTGACATTTTGCATGTTTACCGAGGTCCACGATTCTACTGAAATTTAAGGCCAAGTAGAATTACCTTTTAGTAAGGCACAAAATAAAAGTATAATTTCATTAAGACTACACAATCATCAGACCTCATGTTGCATAACAGGTTTTTCCATTCACTAAATTACTCAGTGTTTTTATGTAAACTGTTGATAAACAACATTGCTTTCTACTGTATATACAGTAAATCTCACATAAGTCATATCAATTGGGACTATACATTTAATATGACTTATGCGAAGTATGAGTTATGTCAAACTTACATAGAATATGAACTCTTGAATGGGACTTGGGCAGATCTATGACTTAAGTGATAATACGATTTATACAGATCAGACTTATGTGAGCTTTACCTTAATAAATTTACACTGCTCTCAAACCTGAACTTAGATACACATGCCCTGCATTGAATAAGTCTTCCACGGCGCACATTCAAATTCTTCAAAAGAACAGTATATGCTTTAATCGCAATAGCAGGACCACTTAGCCCACAAAATACAGTCACTATACTTTACAGTATATTCTGTGAGGTGCATTGAAACGTCTCAACGACGTGATAAGGAGCTATATCAAATGCAAGGATTATTATTATTACTGCTTGAGACTTAAAAAAACTGCCAAATATGTTCAAAAATATTTTTGAAAAATCTATTTTCAATTGAAATGTTTTGCACTTGCTGTCGGATGTAAATTCAAGTGCTCTGAGATGCTACCCCAAGTGAAGGGCGCTATATAAATGCAAGTTGTTCCCCAGGCAAAATGAAGTTGGGAAAGGCAGCCATAAGCTCACAACCCATCATCTCAATATTTTTTGGTCAGTGTTAAGAGAACTTGCATTTATAATGCACCCTTCGTGCAGGGTAGGGTCTCTGAGTGCCAAACAGTGATGTAGTTTGATGCTGAGAGGTAGAAAGGGGAGGTCACTATAGAAGTTGAAGAGGAAAGCCTCTGGTGCAATCTGAAGACCGATAAAAAGGGGGCAAGGTGGAGAGATTGAGACAGAGTTCCAGAGGTTCAGGGTATGATCTATAAATGTAATTTTGTTGTTGTTGTTGTGTAGCTGAAGATGCCGATAGTGAGGTAACTAAAATAGAGTTCTACATATATACGCCACCTACAAACAAATATCCCAATGGCCAACATAGAATGCCTATTCTGTCCTTAGAGGCAACACCTTGCTTATTCCAAGAGTATTAGGCGCAGGTTGGCAAGAACCATGGCTTAAGGCTTCCAGAGTGAGTGTTGGGGTCTTGCTGGAGTTTAATGAGCTAAAACCTCACAGCTTGCCATTGAAAGCACTGCCTGGCAACCTTCTGCTACTTAACCAACTTGGACTATCCTATCCCTTAGGGCTTTTTTGGGGAGGTGAAGGGGGCTTAACAGGAGCCAAGTGGAAAGAATCCCTGCCCCAAGTGACTGGTCTGACCCTCCAAGTCCTGCCAATAAGTCAGGCTGGGTGTGCTGTCATCGGCAGTGCCCTGGAATACTGTGGACCCGCCTGCCTCAGGAACCGTATCTCTGTGCCTGCCACAAAGGGTTGATTCAATTCTAAAATTCTGTCACCAATGCGTCCTTGGAGTCAGTTCAGCTCAAAGACTGCGCATACCTCTTTATTCCTCCCCCCAACCCTGGAGGCTAGTCATCTCTCAGTGAACTTTGTACATCAACAAAATCAAAAATGTGCTTGTTCATTTTCCCCTCCCCCAGACAGTATATTTTAAAGTATCCAAAGGAGACTGCGGATATACTTTTATTTGCACCTTATTACCTATTCTCTCTCTGAATCTCATTCAGAAAATACTGTAAGTCATAAACTGATAAACTTTGACTTCAGCTCAGACTTAATAATAATAATCCTTGCATTTGATATAACGCTTTTCACGTCTTCTAGACATCCCAAAGCGCTTCATAGAATATAATGTAAAGTGAATTGACTGTATATTTGTGGGCGAAACATGGCAGCCAAATATGCACAGCAGTGTCCCACAAACAGTCATAGATTGAAGTGACCAATTTTTTATTATTGTTTTTTTTCTTCTTGAGGGATTATTATCAGGCGTGTGGAGTAAGGAAACTTGCCCAAGGTTTCGCCCTGGCGGGAATCGAACCCAGGTCTTTCGCAAGCGAGCCGAGTGCTCTAAGTACTGAGCTCCAGGACTTGGCATTGATTCTGACTAATTACATAACAAAGTTAATATGAAGCATACTGCTCTTTAAAATAGACAGTTTTACCAATTACTTCAGATCTTTTGTTTGGCGAGAAGCAGTATCCAGCAGTGAATGGTTTCAGGATTGTTCTGCCGTTCTGGTTCTTTTTACAGTAATTTCTTGATACTGTTCCCGGGTGATCAGTGCTTGGGTAATACTTTTGCTTTCTTCGAATTTGGGTAATACAACAGCAATGTATCCTTCTGTGGAGGGCTGGATGAAAAATAGATTTTAAACAAAGTGAAATAAAAATAAATACAATCAATAATAATATGAGCTGTGTAATTTACCTTTTCTTGTAGAAGGCTGGGCTCCTGGAGTATGTTTTCATTTACTTCCAACAACCGTCCTCTGATACAACTGTAATAAGAGGACGATTGGTATATCAATAGAATCCCTGGTCTTTGAGAAGTGCTAACAAATAACAAACCTCTTCCTGAAATCACTGTAATAGCGCAGACTCTGGAACTGTTTTTTAGCATCAATCCTCTATGCACTCAGACATGAACTTTAATTGTAAACTGAGGCACTAACATTTGCAACTTAACATATGGCATATAATTTGATTGGAAGAATGAGTATCAAATGGCAGTAGATTGCCCATTTCCACAGTGAATTACTTTTTACAACAATGAAGACAAAAGTTTTGACTCCGGAGCATACAAATCAAGCAGAGGTCTAATTAAAATGTAACAACAGAATAGTATCATTAAGGGACATTTTTAGCCATGTCAGGGGATGACATTGAGCAGAGACCAAAGCAAGATTTGGGAGACACTGAACACTGCTGATTTGCACTCATTAGCATTTAACAGCAAACTCTGGCTATTCTTAGAAAATACAACATCATGCTAACCAGGAGTACAAAGCCATGATCCACATGTGCAATGACATAAGTCTAACTTTCCCAGGGAGAACGGCACCAGATGGTGAAATAAACCTAGCTCGGACCTGATCTAAATATAAAATGTACTGTAAATTGCCCCCCAAAAGATGGTCTTCATCACCAGTTTATATGGTGCCACAATACTAAAAATCATTGTTATTGTATCCAGAATTGACGGAGAAATTGACTAGCATCTGGGACTTGTTTCCACTGTTGCATTTAAAATAAAACTGATGTCCTTATGTAAACTTCTTTATTTACTCCACTCCTCCAACCCTTACACAAGTTGCCATTCACTTGTTAATTAATTGGACATTCCAATTAGTGTTACATTTACGAAGACTTTCTACACAGCAATTTTCAATAGCTGTAGTTATTCAGTGAGTTTTAGTAAACATTAGTAAACACACATCTTCAGAGTAAAAGTCTTGCCTGTATATTGTATACTCTTCACCATCTGTACATTTTATCCTGCACAATGGGGCAAGCTCAGTGAGAAACTGTCCACCCTGAAAAAGATTAATCATAATATAATAATCATCTTTGCATTTGATACAGCACTTTATCATGCAGTTGAGACATCTCAAAGCGATTAACTGTAACTTGTAGTGATGGTATATTTGTAGGCAAACGTGGTAGCCAATTTACACGCAGCAGTTCCATGAAGTAAATGACCAATTTTATTTGGGAAATTAATGCCCACCTGAACAAGCAAATGGAACCTCAACTTAATGTGTCATCTGAAGGATGGAGTACCCTTCATTGGGTTATCAGTATAGACCATGAGTTCAAAGCCCTCATGTGGGGACTCATAAGCGAGGGTAGCCCAGTTGCAGATTGGTAATGTTGAAGAAACCATATAAATCAAACTTAATGTAGGTGATATTCTGTTTAGTAATCTTAATGATCTGCATGAGTTGTTCTTAGTATTGTATAAGCTAATTGTGTGAAGATCTTTACATTTCAAAGAATGCTGAATAACTCATTAAAATTCTTTTAAATACAATGATTTGAAAAATATATAAATTTCATTTAAAAATCAAAATAAAATTAATTCAAACTTATCTTCCTATCAGTCTTTGTAAAAACATACAATTAGGAAACTCCATGTTAGTAAATTGTCCAGTGTCCAAGGGACCTGCCCTCCATAGCTCCTTGATAACAAAAGGACGATTGATATGTTCCCGAGCAGCTCTACACACTGCAATGGGAACCAGTATTTCAGACCAGCTGGGAGCAGATTCATAGTCAGACAACTCAGTGAAGCCCTCTGCTGGCTGAATATACAGCAATGCCCAGATGGCAGTGCATTTCTGCTGTTTGGTTCATTACTGTGCTGCTATGATTCTCTTCCAGACACGCACTACTGATCTCCCCAAGATGTCATCTGATAGATTGAAAGAGAAAAGGAGATCTTAGTAACGCTTGCCTGCCTCTCTTTATCGGCAAATAAAGCATGGTGGTGGTTTGGGGAGGAAATGGGATGGATTAGAATAAAATTGAAGACTTTTAATATCTTACCCGTTTTGATTTCCCAGTGACCTTGTTCTGAAGTCGGCTGCAGTTGGCACTGATTTGGTAGTTTATACTTTGAATTTTTCTCCCACTTTGTAAGAGAGGATGAGATTCTGCCAGTGTGATGACACACAACCTATGACATATAGCAATGAGCTTGTTTTAATTTCTATGATTCTACCAGGCAACACTTTCAATGCCAATTGCAATGTGCAAAAATCAATTACAAAGATTACAAAGTAGTAGTGTGACACCTACCTGTTAGAATGTTGTAAGACACAGTGATCTTCACAAGGTTTTCCTTTAACATCTGGAAAACAATATAGTGCAAACAAACAAATTACATTTGTACAGTGCCTTTCACGTCGGGAGGACGGCCAAAGGCGCTGGACAGTTAGAGATTTGGACCCGAGTTGCGGGTTGATATCAGGAGTGGAGGGCAGGAAGGGTAGGAGGGTGACCTGAAGGCGCGATCGAAGAGAAGTCTTGAGATGGACCTTGGAGGCAAGGGAGGGAGCGAGGCGAAGGGACTATGGGTTGGAGTTCCAAAGGGAGGGGGCAGAGATGCTAAAGGCCCTCTGCCAATGGTAGGGTGGGCTGAGCGGGGGAAGTAGAGCAGGCTGGATCCTGCTGAGTGAAGAGAACAGACAGGTCGGTTGGGGGTTAGCAGGTCATAGGTAAGGAGGAGCAAGACCTTTGAGAGCTTTAAAGGCGAGGATGAGGATTTTGAACTCTATCATTTGGGGGATGGGGAGCTTGGCGTGGATAGGGTCACAGAGCCTGGTGTGAGGGAGGACACAAGCTGCAAAGTTCTGGATGATCTGCAGATTGTAGCGGGATGAGTTGGGAAGGCTGACAAGCAGTACGGTCAGCTACATTTATGTGAAAGGTCCTCTACAAATACAAGCTGCTTGTATAAAAGAATTAAAAAAATGCAGGCTGCATTCCCACTGCCTCCCTCAGAAATCTATTTGTTGAAACCTAAGCTCAGACTCAGGAAGTGGAACAGGCTTCAAAGCCCTCCGTGGTCTTGCTCCCCCCTACCTCTGCGACCTCTTAACTCCCTACCATCCTGTTCGCTCCCTCCGCTCAGCGGGCTCCGGGCTGCTTCATGTTCCCCGCCTCGCTCACCCCACTATTGGTGGGCAGGTCTTCTGCCACTCCACCCCCACCCTCTGGAACTCCATCCCAGTCCCTCCGCCTCGGCCCTCCTTTGTCTCCTTCAAGACCCATCTCAAGACCCTCCTCTTTGACTGTGCCTTTCGATCTCCCTGCTTCCCATCCTGCCCTCCACCCTCCCCGATCCCGAGCTCGGGTCTGTAACGCTGTCTGTCCAGCGCCCTGGGACGTCCTCCCGATGTGAAAGGCGCTATACAAATGTAATTTTGGTGTTGTTTAAAGATAGTGGTAAATAGGTGGAAATAAACCACTCGGGTGAGCAAAGGCAGACTGCGTCAGTAAATTTGGGGTGTTTTAGACAGGCAAGGAGGGAGGGAGGGAGGGAGGGAGGGAGCCATGGGGACTTTCGGATGGAGTGCCAGAGAGTGGGGGCAGAATAGTGAGCAGTTCATCTACGATGGTGAGATGGTTGGTTCGCTTAGCGAAGGGAGCGGCCGGGTCACAGAGCTACAATGGGATGAAACTACGGAGGGATTTGGATGTGAGAAGAAGAATATTGAATTCAATCCGCTGGCGGCCGGGGAGCGGCCGGAGCTCAGTGAGGGTGAGGGCTGGTGGGGCTCACAGGTCCCGGCACAGGAGAGGAGAGTGTGCGGTGTGTGTGATGGGAGGCTGGGCCTGGCCGGACAGAGGGTCAGCAGGGGGCTTTCCAGAGGAGTTACATCTGCCGCAGTGGAAGATTTGCTGATGTTTTTCCTGTATCCCAACATGGTCCCCATGACTGGACCATCCCGGCGGCCTGGACTGATGATGGCGAGTCAGCCGCTCAGGTCCTGCAGCAGTGACAGACAGAGGCCCTGTACAGCAGCTCAGCTCAGCTCAGCTCAGGCACCGACTCTTACTGTTAACCCTACAAACTGACGTGAAGCTCCTCACGGTGAGTGTGGCTCAGCGCCGCCCACCTGTCTTGTACCAGCGGGTGAAGTACCGCTCCACCACGGACGGGCAGCTCGCAGCCTCCCCCTCCCCCTCCTCCGCCATCACGACAGCCACCGAACCACCGCGCACAGCCCTCACCGGAAGTGGGGCATCGCCTCGCGCCGTGCCCCAGGTGACAGCCCTCACCGGAAGTGAGGCGTCGCCTGGCGCCGTGCCCCAGGTGACAGCCCTCACCGGAAGTGAGGCATCGCCTGGCGCCGTGCCCCAGGTGACAGCCCTCACCGGAAGTGAGGCGTCGCCTGGCGCCGTGCCCCAGGTGACAGCCCTCGCCGGAAGTGGGGCAGTGGCGTGGTGCGCACGCGCGTGGTCTCCCGGTTGTGGGCAGCAGGAACTGGGGGTGGAGGGATGAGAAAGGTACAGAGGTGCAGTGTCTGTGATTAACAGAGCAACTGTTAGCAGAGGTTTATCAATCAATAAAGATAGTTTGAAGTGAAAAGTGCTACCTTATGTGAGGGAACCTGGATACATTTTTTTCCTGTTTCGCCCACAAAATATACAGTCACTGTACAGTATATTCTGTGATGCGCTTTGAGACGTCTCGAGGACGTGATAAGGTGCTATATCAAATGCAAAGATTATTATAATTATATTATTAAATATACAAGTTGTTGTATTAGAAAAGGGAAGGGAGCGTCTCCAGGCGTCCCGGCCAACAATCCTAAAAGTAAAATTGGTCACTCACTCACCTCACGGCTGTTTGTAAGACATTGCTGTGCGCAAACTGACTGCCACGTTCGCCTCGGTTGGGAAGAGCTAAGGCTTAGAAACTCCAGAGTGTACATTGAGGGTACTATTGGAATTTAACCAGTTAAAACTGTAGCTCAATGGTTGAGCACTCGCTTTGCAAGCGAGAGACCTGAGTTCAATTCCAGGCAGGGCGAAACCTTGGGCAAGTTTCCTTACTCCACACGCCTAATAATAATCCCTCCAAAACAAAAAAAACAATAATAAATTGGTCATTTTCAATCTACGACTGTTTGTGGGACATTGCTGTGCGCAATTGGCTGCCGCGTTCGCCCACTAATATACAGTCAATTCACTTTACAGTGTGTTCTGTGAAGCGCTTTGGGACGTCCTCCCGACGTGAAAAGCGCTATATCAAATGCAAGGATTATTATTATTATTATTATTATTAAAACAGCATTGCCTCATGTTCAAATCTCTCCACAACCTTGCTTCACCCTATCTCCTCCAACCATTCCATCCCAGTCACTCCCTTCACTCAATGATCACTGACCTGCCTCATGTCTCTTGACCCTGTCTGGCTGCCACTTTCGCCTACAAATATACAGGCACTTCACGGTAAAATCCTGTGAAGAGCTTTGAGATGTTCTGACAATGTGATAAAGCACTATATCAAACGCAAACAAGTTGTTAGCCATTCCGGCCCATTGTCTGGAATTCCATCCTGAAGTCCCTCTAACTTGCTCCTTTCCTCCCCTCTTTCAAGGCATGCCTCAAAACATATCTCTTTGATGGTGCTTTTAGTCATCTTTCCTCTCCCCACCTCCTTGGCCCCCACAATCAGGTGGGTGCCCATTCAGCACAGTGAAGTGCTTTGAGACGTTGTTGGTATGTGAAAGGTGCTATATAAATGTGAATTGTATTAGATTGAGAGCACTGTCTGGCAAGCTTCTATTGATTGCCCAGCTAAGATCACATAGCTGTTAGGGCTTTGACTTGTAGGATTAACAGGAGCTGGGTGGGAAGAATCCCTGCTCCCCATGACTAGTTTGCCCCTCCAAGCTGAACAGCCAGGCTGACGGGTCTGTTTTTCAGCAGTGCCCTGGAGTACTGTGATCCCACCTGGCTCAAGAACTGGACTTCTGAGACCACCACAGAGGGCTACTCTAGAAAGCTATAGAGGCAGAATCAATAGAGATGTTTAAACAAAACATAAACAGATATGTGAGTAATGGAATGAGTGGGGGTTACGGATGGAGCTTTGGGACGAAAAGATATGCCAAAATCAAATAAGTTGGTAAACAGGCACAATGGGTTAATTGGCCTTCTTCTGTTCCTTTTTTCTATGTTAGCTATTGCCACTTTCATTGTATAATTTCCAAGAATTTATTTCCCTTTTACCTACCCTCACAATTTAAAATTCTAACATCTGGAATCATCAGCATTTGGTGTGAGTTAGAGAGGGAAGCAATAAAGCACAGGTGGAAAAAACCCATCTTGGTCAGGGACCAATTGTGAGGAAGAAAATCTGAGGATCGAGTGGAGGCCAAGATTGTGTACTGATTTGATGAGTTTGAGAGAGAGACCTGGAAAGTTAGGAAGGTCAGAGTCGGAAGTAAGGAGACGTTGGCCAGAGGCAAGGAGCATGGCTTCTGTCGTGTCCATGTATAATTGCAAGAAATCAAGGCTCATCCAGGGATATGGATCCAACATGAAAAATAGTGATGAGATTGGATAGTAGCTAACTAACTACAGGCTGAATTCTATTTTATTATTTCAATGCTAACCAAGTTATGCCGTGTTACATCATATTATTTAGTGGTGCATACATAAAATGTATTTTATTCATCATTTGCAAGAGGGTAGATGTATAATCATAATAATCCTCACATTTGTTACAGCACCTTATAATAATAATAATAATAATCATTGCATTTGATATAGCGCTTTTCACGTCGGGAGGACGTCCCAAAGCGCTTCACAGAACACACTGTAAAGTGAGTTGACTGTATATTTGTGGGCGAACGCGGCGGCCAATTGTGCACAGCAATGTCCCACAAACAGTCGTAGATTGAAAATGACCAATTTATTATTGTTTTTTGTTTTGGAGGGATTATTATTAGGCGTGTGGAGTAAGGAAACTTGCCCAAGGTTTCGCCCTGCCTGGAATTGAACTCAGTTCTCTCGCTTGCAAAGCGAGTGCTCTAACCACTGAGCTACAGGACTCCACAAATTTTATGTCAGAAGGATGTCCATCCTAGAATGTCTGTCCTAGGAAGGGTAGTGACCGTGTATTTTGTAGGGAAATATGGCAGCTAATTTGTGTACAATAACGTCCCACAAACAGCCATAAACTGAATGACCATTTTTTAATTTGAGGTAATGTTGGCTAGTTCACCATGCGAAACCTTTCTCTTTTCCAATATTGCCACAAGATGCTTAACATCCACCCGAGCAGGCAGACAAGATCTCAGTTTAATGCCCCATCAGAAAGAAGGCAACTCCAACAATGCAGTGCACTTGGAGTGTCACTGTTGAGTTCAAGGTCCCACTCCATTTGATGGGAAGACAATCAAAGTGCACCACCTGATAACTCGTTTCCGCATTTGGACAGTGCAAATAATCCATCTATGAAACATAGTGCTAAAGAATGTCGTTCGGTACTCATGTCAAATCCTTTTCACCTTTAAAAGTTCCTGACAAAATTTGAGGTGAATTTACCAGTAATAATAATAATAATAATAATAATCCTTGCATTTGATATAGCGCTTTTCACGTCGGGAGGACGTCCCAAAGCGCTTCACAGAATACACTGTAAAGTGAATTGACTGTATATTTGTGGGCGAACGCGGCAGCCAATTGCGCACAGCAATGTCCCACAAACAGTCGTAGATTGAAAATGACCAATTTATTATTGTTTTTAGTTTTGGAGGGACTATTATTAGGCTCTGTGTGGAGTAAGGAAACTTGCCCAAGGTTTCGCCCTCTGCCTGGAATTGAACTCAGGTCTCTCGCTTGCAAAGCGAGTGCTCTAACCACTGAGCCACAGTAACTGCCCTAGGTTGGAGCTTGAACCTGCTGTTCACTATACCCCTGGCTTTTTCTTTAGAATCTTTTCTCTATATTTTGATGAGGGCTGAAGGCTTCAGGTCTTTAACCTTCTGTCAGCTATTTTACGCTTGATCACGCTGCTGATGCTTCAGAGCCTGTCTGTCTTTTTTTCATCCCAAACTGGCAAATTTCACAGAGCATGAAATGATGGTTCAGCTGGAGATCCTCAGCAGGATTCCAGCCATAGGAGAGGTTAGATATGCCCGTGCACAGTATTTGAAAGCATGTAGTGGAGCATAACCACAGAAAAAAATGCTTTAAAAACTATGAGGAAATGTTGCAATAAAATCAGTGACTGTCCAGCCATTTTGCAATGCTTACTGCTTTGTACACTTCGCTTATAGAATCATAGAATCGTACAGCACAAAAAGAGGCCATTCGTCCCATCGAGTTTGTGCTGGCTCTTTGAATAGAGCTATTAATGTCAATCCCACTCCCCAACCCTTTCCCCATAACCCTGCAAACCCTTCCTCCTCAAATACCCGTCCACCGTGTTTTTAAAAGGGACAGCTTATACTGGAAGAAATACTGTACGACAGAAGTTGTCCCGACAGGGGTAGTTTTATGTACACAATCAATGCTAAAAAGTCAGGGGTTCTTATTTTCACAGTTAAATATCTTATCTCATGCATTGCATGTCTAGTCAACTGAAGTTTTATTAGACAACTTGAGAGGGTTTTTTAAGCTCCTGTAATTTCTACAGCTCTATTATTCTATAGTTCCATGATAAAGTGCCAGTTTTGAAGATAAAGCAGAATAATAGCAAAAAAGCTTTTGACTCTTCCAGGCAATCCCATAAAGATATGAAACAGAAAAATGAGCTAGTCACTTTGACTCTGCAGCCATACTAATGTGACACTCGTCAGATACAGTTCAGTGCCAGATGTTTAATTCATAGGAAAACAATTCATTCATTCAGAGGAGGAGGCGTCAATCATCCAAACCACCATCTCAATGAAAAAAACTAATCTCTAAAAAAAACTGCTACTGGTTAGACAAGATACATAAAGTATTCCCCAAATGTGATCAGTAGAGGGCAATAGAATTCAATGTTTAGATATCAATGCCACAATTTTGAACTTTTACTGAAGGTGTAGAGCCAGATATTTTTATAAGGTTCCTAATTAACAGTTTGCTTTAATAAATAGTTTATATTTATTAAATTTAAAGGGATAGGTTTAAAATATTTTAAAGAAAACGGGTGAAAAATGTTATCTTTAATATCATACCTATCACTGGTGTGAATTAGCACACTGTGAGCCATTCTCTTCCTGGTGATGTCCCAGTCGATGACTGAC